CGAGTAGAATTTTATGATGGAATTCGATCCAGTCTATTAACCTATCATTGCTGTGATTAAGAAATTGTTATATAGCTACAATTCTATATTTATTAAAACAGGATTTAATATATGCTGGTCTTGCTATATTTCTAATAATTGCACCAATCGGTGTGTCTACAAAACTTTTTGGCACTAGCCACTGTGTCCAATGCTCGTAGCTTAAATTTCTCTGATGTAGTGATTTGATCAGGTTTGCTATAAAGGTATTGTCTATGTCTATTAAAAATATTGGGAGCTTTACTAGAATTGAAGTATTAGTTAGAGCAGCATTTTGTAGGTTTTGCCAATGGATTTTGGTACTAGTCAAATCAAACTCTAGTAAGTTCAGAAGTGTCTAATATGTTGTTTCTGTTGTATATCTGAAATATCTTGAAGACCATATATTTATGGGTGAAACAAAATTAAATTTGGTATAGAGCATGCCAAATTTGCTTTCACTTTTACTATCTTAGTATATTTTTATCTGATCTCTTCACATATTGATTGTGTTAGGTGGATATTTTAGAGTCTATATCTCAACCTAGCCATTATTACTATATTTATTATATAAATTGCTTGCTTTTCTGTTATTTTAGAGTATTTCAGCTTTTTAAAATCCAGATTTACCTCTTGTATTATCTTTTTATAGACATGTTTTCTTCTTTTCAATAAGTTCAGATATGTCCCTAAAAATTTTAGAGTACTATTTGGCCCACTGTTTTGAATATCCATGTTTTGAAATTTTAGCAGATCAACGTCTCTTTTGTTATTATGCATTAAGATCGATTTTGGATTTACTTTTATACTAGTGAGTTTATAGAAGAAAGAAGCTATCTCTAAGGTTTTTTCTAATTGTAAGTGACTTTTTGCCACCCAAGTTGTATCGTCCATATATGCTACAACCTTTATATCTACTTTAGAATGGTCTGATTTTCTAGGAATAGTGGTGCTTATTTGGTATCCTGTAAGTTTTTTGTTGACTCAACTAATAAGTGGGTTATAATAGATACACTATAGCAGGGGGAGATTACTTCTCCTTGATCTATTCCATCTTCTACGCTATATTGGTCTGTCTTACTAATAGTTGTCAAGACTTAATTTTGTCACTCAGAAAAAATGTTTGTAACTATGTTAACAATTTTTTTCGGTAGATTCAATCTTTCTATCGCTTTACATAGCATTGATATGTGAATTGTATCATATGCTTTAGATATGTCCTGTGACATAATCTATAGCTCTCTTTTATTTATCTCTGCATCCTCTTGTAGGTGGATGAGTTGTTATATTGGGAGCAGAGTTAAGGTGAAAGGTAATGCTATATTGTTTGCTAAATCAAGACTCTCAAACCTAGTAAGTGCTGTATTTAATCTATTTGTTAGAATTTTTGTAAAAATTTTTTGGAGATGTTCAATTAGTATTATAGGACGTGTTCTACTCATGTTCCCATCCATATATACCGCCTTCACAATGAGCCAAACCAGGCCATGTTTTCATGTCTTCGGGATATCCTCGATCTCTAGACTTTGATTCATTATATATAGTAAACCTTGTAAAGCATTTGTAGATATTTTCTTTAGCATTTCATTTGATATTAGGGTTGGCCCAGTTGCTTTTTTTCGTGGAGCATTGTTTATAACCTCTATCATTTCCTGAAGAGTTATTGGCTCTGTCAAATTCTGAAAAACTCTTAGTAGCATATCCGTTTTGGGTTTATAGTAACTTTCCCAATTTGGCCATTCTTGAATGTCACTATTATTTAGTTTAGTCCAGTTTTTAAAGTGTATTTTCATCGCTTCTTTTATAGTGCCTGGTTCTGTAAAGGCCTGCACGGAGTAATTATGTTATAATATGTTACTTGTTCTTTGCTTCTTTTTAGAACACTATTTATCATTGCAGATGTATTAGAGGCAAAATTTTTTTGGTGTCTATTTATGAAGTAATTGATCTTCTCTTTTTTTTTTATTATTTTCCAGAGTTCGTGTATTGTGTACAGTATCTCGTGTCTTTATTAGCTATTTGATTATCTAGCTATAGCCCATCGAAAAGAACATCTGAGGCATTATCAGTAGCACTGTTATGCCTGTTAGATCAGTAAACGTTTTTGTATCCTTGTTGATTTGCTTTACAACAAATCCTGGTTCATATAGTGGATGAATTTCTTTAAATGTTTTGAATGCTTTACTTATTACTTTTAGCCCATTATGTAATTTTGTTGCCTTGAATGTATGTGCGTAAAATTTTTTCTGCGTTGAATAAGAGTATAGTATATTATTTTTTGCTGCTTGTTTTATTATACTATTCTATATATTTGTATATCTGTTCATTGATCGTTTATCCATGATCTTGAGATTCAGAAGTGGTGAAGCTTCTATATTTGTGTTAATCTGTGATGCAAATTTTGCCCAGTCTTTCTCTGATGCTTGGTTATACAGGTATTTTAGTTTTCTTTGCTTTTTCTGTCTATACCACATAATTGTCCAAGGTGTGTGCTACATTATTTGAAGAATTTTATGGTTGCTTCAAGTTGTGGATTGTGTATCTATTAAGGACAGGGAGTCAAAGGACAGGACAATTTCAGGGCTTACCCAGATATTATCAATTTGGCTAGAGGCTGTATTCCGTTGCCAAGTAGGTTCAGTGATGTTATGAAGGCCCAGGATACTTACCATGCCGGTTGACTGCAGGTGTGTAATTATGAGTGCGATTCTATTCTGATCTGGTCGACTAGTATTGCTGTTAAAATTGCTGGTTACAATCAAATCAAGCTAAGCAGCTCTTGCTTGTTGTATTAAGTTTATTGTCTGTGTCTGTGCTCTCTTTGAAGCAGTAGTTGGAACTAAGGGTATATATACTGCTATTAGTCGTAATTTGTGTTTTTGCGGGAAGAAAAAGTCTATCATAAGTAGAAAACCAGAAATTGATTAAATGTTTTAAATATAGGGTCTGAGAACTGGGGCCAGTTTTATTGCCACCCCCAGACTAGCCTTTCTTATTGATATACTATCAGCATCATTATTTGCAGTATAAATTTTATATAGCAGATTTGTTAGAGCTTTTCTGGTTTAGTCGATTGTAGTAGCTTTGTCTCGGTCATTGCCACAATTTGAATCTCATTTTTATAACAATATTCTAGCTACATTTGAAACTTAGTATCATCATTTAAGCCTTAAACGTTATGATTAATTATTTTAAGTCTATTTATTGTAATTATATTAGAATTGCTTGTTAGAGGTGTATCTATAGACTGCGAGTCTGTAATAATATCTGTTGTGCTCATTGTGTGGGGGCATAGTTGTCAAAAATGTACCACTGTGGTTTAGGTAGGTCAAAAGTGTTTATTATATGGCTTGGAATACCTGTAAAGTTAAAGTGTTTTTTTAGAAGATTAATGGTACATTCAACTTTCTCTTGTTGAGTGATAAGTAAATTGAATGATAGTGGTTTTTCTATTCCCTCCAGCTTTGCCATTATTTCTTCTATTTATGCTGGTAGTAGGGTTGTTTCTAGTTCTGCATTCACTTCTGGAATTATTTGGATCCAATCATCAGAGATTTGTCAGAAAAAGTAATGCTCTCTCAAAGCTCTTGCTGCATCTACCAATTGTTTAGGTGACGTTATTGGAATTGTGAAATTTACTAAAGCTATCTCTTCATGATTGTCTAGTAGTGCTGGTTTGTCTGTGGGATTAGCTATCATATATTGCAGCGAAAGAGGTATGCTATATTTGTACTCTGCATGGATCTCATCAATAAATTCTTTTGCTTTGGCCACTTCTGAGATCGGGAAGCTATATTTTCTTTGAACATTGACCTACAGGGGATCTGCGGGTAGTGGTTTTTTTTAATAAAGTAGTTGTTGGGTAATTTTCGGAATCCATAATGTTTTCTCAGAATCTCTATATAATAACAAAAATCTGTATCATTTATGGGGTTACTTGGAAAGTACTCTCTTACTGCCGAATTTAATTCTTTTGGTAGGGGTAAGTCAAAATAATTACTAGACATCTTAGTTATATCATAAAATTTTGTCAGTTTTTTTCTATACTGGACCAAGTAGGATAGCCTTGACTTTTCTCTGATAGGAAATAGGTCTCGCAGCTCGAGTCTCAGCTGGCTCGGATAACTCGATAATTCTTCTAATAGATTTTTGAAGTACTGGTTAGGTAGTTTTTCGAAGCGATATACTTTTCATAGTGCCAGTACTGTAGCTCCTGTATATTTCTTATCGGTTATAAGTAATGGAAAGAGCATAATTTTTATAATGTCCTCTGGGATCTCCTTAGGGTCACCTGGTAATGGAGTTAGGATTAAAGAATGTGCCAATTGTATTTGTTTGCAGACATCTTCGAATTCTTAATTGCACTTGATTTTCGCAAAATTTAAGGCATAAAATATATAATGGGTACAGTCATAGAGGCTAGTCAGGATAAAGTCTAGATTACATATGTAGTCTAGTGCTAGTTTACTCTTTAGCTTTGAAAAGATTTGGTCCCTATGTGTCTTGTTAATAAAAGTTGTATTATATTGTTTCTTATATCTTTTTACAGCCAATTGGTATAGTGAGTTAAACTCCTTCTAGTGTGGTGGTTGCTCATCTCTGATTTTTAAAAAGGACTTGAAGAAGGCCATGTCCAAGTAATTGAATTTTTGAGCTATTGCTATTGGTATATTATATCCAGCAGGGCGTGTCTTAATTTTATACTTAAAGAATTCTAGTAGTTTGTCAGAGTTTTCTAAGACTTTGATAATATTGTCATTATGCTATACTGCATTATCGAACTCAGTTTTTCATACTTTTGCCAAGGCTTGTGCTACCGTGTTGGCCCAGGTCAGGTCTCTTTCTTTTTTCTAATTTGTGATAATATTCTTTTTAAGCACTCTGCTATAAAATAGTGGTGGCTTTGACTCGATTGTAGTATTTGACTTATTATGCTCTTCTAACTCTGATTTTATATTCTTATTTTTTGTACTACTTCTTAATTAGCTCTCAAGTATGATGTCATTGGGTTCCATAATGGCTCTGTCCAAGCTAGAGCATCTCTGCAGGGGCTGGTTAATTAGGTTCTGTAGTGTTTGTTTTTTGTAGGAATTTTCCTCTTTCGTTCTTACTTTTTTTTCCATGTTTGTTGTTGTTTCCATTTTTGGCATTGTACTACTTTCTAGTGGGGTTGAGCTAGAAACCCTACTTTGGCTAGTTTCTAATGCTTCCATGGCAGTTTGAGAGTTTAGCTCGTCAAGGTTCAGTGACATATCCACTATATTATTATTTATTCTTGATTTTTTGGTCGATCTGGACATGTCTTCTACTACTAAGTGCTGTTCTTTCATGTTTTTACCTGATGTCCTACTCGGGTCCATCAGGTAAAAGAGTGGAGTTGGATTCAGTAAGAGTGAAAGGTTAAAGGTGTCTGTAGTGGTGTGGTTGATATCTCTACTATGTTTCACTATCTTGTACTGTTTAATACTTATAAAATTTGTTTGGTTGTTTGTCCGAAGGCCTACTATTAATTAAGTTTTTTCTCTTTATCGTTAGTTTTGTTTATCTTGTTTTTGTTTACTTAATGTTTTGAGATCTACAGGAAAGAGTTTACCAATAACTCTTTTTTCAAAAAAGAAAAAAGACAATTGTACTTGCATTTTGATAAGTACTAAACTCTGAACTTGTTGGCAAGTAGCATATAAGAACTATTTCTAAATAACAAGTGTCATACAAGTGATAAGTGATAAACTTTGAAGTTGTTAGCAAGTAGCATATAAGAACTATCTTTAAATAACAACTGCTATTTTATAGTTTCCAGTTTTATACTCTCTGTTACTGACTAATTACTGTGTTTTTACAAAATTTGTTTGGGAAATTTTGGTTTTAGTAATCATCAAAAAGAGTTTATTTTTATATTTTTCATAAACTCTTCCTAATAATCACTTGAACCAATTTTCTTAACTAAAAAAAAAAAAAAACTTTGTTAAAAAGTTAAGTAGACTACAGTAGCAGTTTTTTAGAAGAAATCAACTAGCTTTGGAGACTTTTCGCTGATATTCGGCATACAAGCCAGAAGCCTAGTCAAGAAGAAAGACAGATGGCAATCTCGGCAAGCGCTATTAATTCTGGTGGGCAAAAACTTCATCAACAAAGCTCTGTAAACTATAGTTTTAAGAAGATTTTAGCAGTGGTTTTTAAAATAATAATGGTTAATCTAGCTTGAGGAACTTTAACCTATATTCAGCATGCAGGCCAGAAGCAAAGTATATAAAAGAGAAAAAAGCAGGTGGCACTTCAAACTGTAGCAAATTTTGGTAAAACCAAAGTTCTGTTAACAAAATTTCTAAATCTTTTTTTAAGATCCAGAGGTATAACAAGTTATATATTTTTTTCAAGCCACACTCTTTTTAACTAATCAAGTGATTTCTTTTTACTTGTTCTCATCCTCTCATCAGTCTTTTAAAAAATTTTAATAAAAAGTGAAGGTTTGGGCTTATCTCTTCAAAAAATTGGCATTGTTTATTTTTCAAATTTAGACAGATTAGCAGAATACAACTATGTGTTTGTTTATGGTTAAATATGGTACTTTTTCATAAAACTCAACCTAAGAACTCTAATTTTAAACTAGAATAGACAACAAAGCTATCCAGAGTTGGTAAGAAGGTCAGAAAGTTAAGACAAAGCTTTATAGTAGAGATATACAAATATTATATTTGTTATATAATTTTTATCAACTACACATAAATTATAATAGTGTTTTTAGGGTTTTAGATTTCTTTTTATGTTTTTTTTTTTTTGCAATCAGTGTTTTTTTTTTCTTTTCTGTTTTTTTTTTTGGTTATTTTCATATATTTTCTTTTAAAAATTTCTTTCTTTTGTCTTGTGCTCCTTAGAAAGAAGGAAGAATTAGAAAGGAAAAAAGAGATCCTAACACAGTATATAACAATCTGTCAAATGATTGAGGGAGTATCGTTTTAACAATCAAAATCTAAAGTAAGTTTTGGATCCTGAGTGAGACTAATAGTTGTTATAGCAAGTCATATTAGGTATTTAATCTGATAAGTCTTTATTGAATTAGAGCTACAAGTTGTAAGAATTTAGTATATAACAGTTCATATAAATAAAGGCAGGATTGCTTAAATAAAAAAATAAAAAAAGAGTTCATTTTGATCTGATATTGTATTATTAAAATTTTTTTAAAACTTTATATATTTTTAATATGGATTTTAACCAACTTTATCTAATTTTTTTTTTGGCAATTCTGTTTTTATTATATAAGGGTTTTTGTACAAAATATAAATAAATAATTACTATTAGAGTATAAACATTTATTACCTAATATTTTAAGAGAAAAGAAGTCAAAGATAGTACTTCTAGATTTGGTTTAATTTAAGTTTGAGTTTAATCAAACTTCAAACTCAAACCAAACCAAACTCTAAAATTTTATTAATTTTGAACTTAAACTAAACTCAAATCTATTTTTTATAAACTCAAACTTATTATAAATTTGATTTAGGTTTAGTTTGAAGTTTGCTAACTAGTTTAAGTTTAATAATATAAAAAATTTTTTAAAATATAAAGATATAGTTTATATAAATAAAAAAGAAAACAAAAAGTTACAAAGACTAAAATATTTATATCTTGTAATTTACTAGTCTAATTTTAATATTTTAACTACTATAATAATTAAAAAATACTCTTTTAAAACTTTAATTAGAAGTTGAAAAGAGAATTTACTTAGTAAAAATTTGAAAATTATTATTATTTTTTAAGTAATCCTGTTTTTATTTAGGGCAGTATTTTTTTTATTTTTTTTTTTTAATTCTTTGTCAGTGCTCAAATACAAATTATATTACTATTAGACTAAAAACACAGTTTCGATTTCTAATAATATCTAATTAAA